AGTGACGTGGAGATACCAGGCAGGCCCTGGAAGGGGAGCCCTCACTTTAGATGGGACCTGAGGGACTGATGGGCAGGAATGGGAGCAGGAACAGAACTGGAGCCTGAGTCCAGGCCTGTGCGCACCTGCCGTGAACCAGCCCCACCCAGCCATCCAGAGAACACACACAGGTGCACCCTCCACATCCAGCCCCAGTGGTCCTGGGGCTCTCTGACCCTGGGGTCCTTCAGTTTAGAGGATTCTGATAACACCCTGGGGCACCACCCAAGGTGGCACCTGCCCAAATTCATAGCCAGAATACTAGGATCTGTGCCCACGTTCCCACCGGCCTTATTAATCCTGGGTTTTGGGGACTGCCTTCTGCTCACCCAAATCCCACTTGAATGGAATTTTCCTGGTCTATACTCTTTTGGCCCTCAGCAGGCTATAGTCACGGTGCCACTGTCCACAGAGGGCTGTCTCCTGGTCAGGGCTTTTAGGGCAGGATAAGGGAGCTGAGGCTCACATCGACTGAACAACTTAGCCAAGGTCCCAGCTAGGAAGAGGCTGGGCTAGAAATTTTGTGGGAGGTGTCTGCTGCAGTTACCACATTTTGCCTAGGTCTGGCAAGAGCATTGGAAGAGGCTAAAATTCAGATGATGAAGTTCACATCTTAGCATTCTTGTTGCAGGTTGCTGTGTGAGTTAGGGGAAATGACTTCACCTCTCTGGGCCCCAGTTTCCTCATCTGTGAAATACTGCCTCCTGTGAGTATTAAATGAGGCAGTACAGGACATAGGAGCTCCCAGCAGTTTCAGGCATGTAGGTTGCTGTGTGTATGTTGGTTATTATCATCATCATTATCTATAATCTCCTGGGTCTCCTGGACTACATTGCATCTAATTTTTTTTTTTACAACAATGCGGGTATTTGGGGCATCTTTTTGATTCCAGATAGCAGACTAGGCCACAGTGCATCTTGATACCTCTAATCTGTAACACGTTGGGTCATATAAGTTGTTTCCTTAAAAGGTGATCATGGACAGGGGTCTGCTTATGAGAAGGTGCAGCCAACTCTTTGGGCTTTGATTTCTTCCTTGCTGGAGGCCTCGGCCCCTGACCTTCTTTCAATTCAACTGTGATTCTCTCTGGTGGGTTCCCAGTGGAGGTTGGGTCTCCCAGCTCTCCTCTCCTTACTCACCATCAGTGAAGTAACAGGTGACACTTTTGGCATTAAGTGAAGTCAATGCCAAGGTCTTCGGGGTGATTGGGAATGAGGAAGGGGGAAACAGGGATCCCTGAGGTGAGTTACAAGGAAGCATCTCAGGCATATGGACAGCCAGACAGGCAGTCAGGTGGACAGATGTGAGGTGTCTAAGAGACCTCATTTGGTTAGTTGATTGCTTCCTTTTCTCTCAGCGGTTTTCAACCTGTGGGTTGAGACCCCTTTGGGGGTCGAACGACCCTTTCACAGGGGTCACCTAAGATCATCAGAAAACACATATATAATTACATATTGTTTTTGTGATTAATCACTATGCTTTAATTATGTTCAATTTATGACAATGAAATTGGGGGTCACCACAACATGAGGAACTGTATTAAAGGGTCGCGGCATTAGGAAGGTTGAGAACCACTGCACAGGAACAGCTCCACAAGAATCTTCCTCATGAGGCTTTGAGGAGCGGAGCCTGGTCTTGAATTTCTCTGCAGCCCCTTCCTGCCTGGAGCACTGACTGACGTTGATCCAGACCATCTTTGTTCAGACAAAGGATTGTTTAATGCTTGCTGACTAGTTATTGAAAGGAAATTTGTGATTTCTGGGACCCAGACCTGAGTCTGTTTTGCTAGAGGAAGTGCACAACATGCGTACACACACACACACACGCATACCTGCTATAGATTTTGAGGTATTTTGTTGTTTCTGCTGTGTGTCATCCTCTCCTTACTCCCTGCGTGTCTTTCATTCTGATACCTGTTCTTTTATCCTCACACACTCCCAGGTTACTCTTACCTGGATTTTGCAGTGGGAAACGTCCGATTCTGTATGTTCTGTATGTTCCATTGTGTAGAGATGGGGCTAGAAGCCAAGCTGAGCTGCCTGCTGCCTTCCCCAGGTTGACCTGCCCAGTCTACTTGGCGCTGGCCACCCCTGGGGTCACCCAGAGAGCACCATGTGCATCTCTGTGGCTCTGAGCACCTTCCCCCCTCAGCTCTGCAGGAACTTGGGAATGAGGGGAGGGGCCTCTGTCATGTCAGCCTTGGTCTGCAGGGTATGGAGTACCAGATCTACTGCCCTAGTGTCATCAGGCCACAGCAACAGTTGTGTTAGCACCAACTCCTAGGTGCAAGAGCTCTGTATATTCTCTTCCTCTGTGCAATCTCTAGTATTTCTGTGGCTGAGAGTCTCTCTCTTTCTTTGTACCATCCACCCTTAATCTCCCTCCCACTCTCATCTTCTGTCCCTGTCCAGCATTGGACGTCTGATTGGAAGTTTTATATATATATCGATGCTACTCCTTATAGAGAATGATTAAAACTTTAGTTGCCCATCTCCCCAGCATATTCCATACATCTTCCATGTATCAGGCAGTAAGCCAGGTTAGAGAGAGATTTTTTTTAAGGCAAAGTCTATCACCCTGGAGTTGAAAGACCAACAAAAATAATGCTGATTTTCTTAATAATGACTGTATTCCTATTTTCTGCCTGTGGTGAGACCCTGAGGATGTCTGCACAGGAGAGGTGAATCGTTGTAAGCCGGGCCAGGTTAGAGACCTGGGCTTGTTGGGAAGGAGAGTCCTGGGTGGGTTCTGCAGAAACAGCCTGGTTGAATGAAAACTCTGGAAGCTTGGCCAGCGGTGATTAGGAATGTGTAAGATGGAACAGAGGAGCAGAAGGGAGGATGGAGGGGCCAACCAGACAGACTGAGTCTTTTCATTAGATGTTATACCAAATTTTCACAGGGCTCTCAAAGGCTGGTCTCCCTTGATCCATGCAGAGCTAGCTATGGTGAGGATTTTTCTGACAGTTTAAAGATGAAGAAACATGAGCTATGTGCCCAGGGCAACGTGTCCATTGTGTGGCAGAGCACTTCTCGCTTCTGAAAATCCTGCAGGATTTACTGAATGGCCACCTTGACTCATGAAGAGGCAAGGATCAGCCCCCTTCCAATCCCCCTTGTACTCCTCCCATTCCCCTGAGGCTCCCATGTTTTCCATTTCACCAGGGGGCCCTGTCTGCTCTGGCCAAGAGGCCTGACTCCCAACTCAGGCTTGACCACAGTGCGACCCCATGGTCTGTGGGTGCAGAAGACAGTGCTGGTACAGTGCACTATGGCCTTTTTGCTTCTTAATTTCAAGGGCCAGAAGCTGTTGAAAACAAAGGAGCAAAGAAACCAGCCCCAGGAATGAGTGCTCAGAGTAGGTGGGTGAGGAAGGTGTGTGTGCTCACATGTATGGGCGGTGAGTAATGGGCTGAGGAGGAGCAGCTGACAGCCTGCCAGGCTCAGGACGGCTGCCAGGGGGCTCTCAGGGACCTTCCCGGTGCCCTCCTCTCTCGGATCACCACACAGTAAATGAGATGATTCCCGCAGACTGCCCAGGAGCCCGTCAATATCCATTCTAATCTCCCTGGCAGCCCCAGAGGTGAATTTACAGCGATGTGGTAAAAATGAGGCTGCATGATCAATGCATCTCTGGACGGTCTCTTCCAGGAGACACAAATGCATATTGCAACAAAACTTTATTTTCTCCCGAAAATTGCCTACATGATTAATATGGCCCGACACAGGCCAAGCTGTTCAGCATAAAAAACCGCCACATTTCTTGCTCCATCTTCCTGCTTCGCTAACTCCATTCCTTCCTCTCGTCGCGTGTGTTTTGCTCTCACACTTTGTGCTCTACAGGGGGAAGGGGAATTCGAGATCCGGATTCCAGTCCACGTTGTTTCTTCTTGGTATTTCCAGTGTGGCTCAGACTAAGTGTGGAACCAAATGCCCGGTGTGTGGGTGCTCCTGGGACTGAGCCATGCAGAGCACGTTCTCTGGGCATTCTACCATCTCTAACGTCACCAGCTCTCTGCCCCCGAGTCCAGCCTGGATGAAAAGGACTCTCCCCTTTCGCCCTGTTTTTGGGATGGGGAGTGGCTAGGTCATAAGAGGCAGGACCTCTGAGGCAGGTGGTGCCACTTCCTGTCCTCATGGAGGTTTTAGGAAGAAGAGATGGGGTGTGTCAGGCAGCACACTCCTACCTACACAGGCTGAGGACCCGCTTCCTTGATTATGATTATTTGCATGTGTGTTTTATGTCTCCTAGAGTGTAAGCTCCGTGAGAGCTGGGGTCTCCTGTAGATCTCTTGGTATGGGTTCCCCAGACACTGACCCTGAGACAAAGAGGTGAGTGCATTAGTCTATTTGGGAAGTAGAGAGGGGACTGGGGATAGAGGACTGGGAAGGGAAGGCATCCCCAAAGTGGGTGTCATGCAGATTGTTACTGTGTGTGACAGGAACTTCATCTCAGGAGGACCCTGGGAGCCAGTGTAAAACCCACCCCTCAGAGTCAACCTGCTCCAGAGCTGAGGGAGTCGAGTGTTTATGCATCAGCCCCCAGCAGTCTCTGGATGAGAGCTGATGGGGGTGGGTAACTGCTTAGGTGGCATCATAACAGGTGAGCCCCAGACAAGGAAGTGCAGGTGCCCAGAGTGGACAGTTCGACAGGTGAGCACTGACGAAACCAGGGGGTACATGTGGGCACAGTAGCCTGTGGTATGGCAGATGTGTGGCCAAGACTGGTGCTTCCCATTCGTACAGGGTGGTGAATTTGGGATACATGGGGCTGGATCTCTTAACCCTCTCCTCCTTAGGTTCTATTCTCAGTTCTTAACCAAGAGAACCAATTGGTACAGGGAACCAATGGTTCACGCCTCGGGAGGACATGTACGAGGATTGGGCGGACGTCCTTACTGTGTCCAGCACAGCACGTGTGTCCCTCCTTCCTGACTTGGCTCTCCCTGCTCTCCTCCCCAGGTGTAAGGAGCTGAAGTACTCCAAGGAGCTGCCCCAGATCTCCATCATTTTTATCTTCGTGAACGAGGCCCTGTCGGTGATCCTGCGGTCGGTCCACAGCGCTGTCAACCACACGCCCACACACCTGCTGAAGGAGATCATCCTGGTGGATGACAACAGTGACGAAGGTATGGGGGTGGCCGGCCCAGGGGTTTCTTAGAGAGAAAGATGCAAACTCACAGTCTCAGCAGGGGAAATGCCCCTTCATTCCAGTACCAGCCCAAGTGTCTCTGTCTTCTGTTCCTGGGGTGTATCCAGGGAATGGGGGAAGTTTGGAGGAGGAAGTCCAGGCAAACACTGGTTCATTAGTCCACGAGTCCTCTAGGGCTCTGAGAGTAAGCGACTGGTGATGTATCTAGAGCAGGGGTGGGCAAACTTTTTGACTCGAGGGCCACAGTGGGTTCTTAAACTGGACCGGAGGGCAGGAACAAAAGCATGGATGGAGTGTTTGTGTGAACTAATATAAATTCAAAGTAAACATCATTACATAAAAGGGTACGGTCTTTTTTTTTTTTAGTTTTATTCATTTCAAACGGGCCGAATCCGGCCCGCAGGCTGTAGTTTGCCCACGGCTGATCTAGACTAACCTTAATTTCCCCTCTTCTTATTGATAAAGGAATTAATAATTTGAAGGGCTGAATTCCTCCACACACACCCTTTCCCAGGAGGCGAAAGAACAAGGGAAATTCTGTCCTGTGATGGGAAATCCTCCCACCTCAGAATTTCCCTCTGGGCCACTGTGCCCACAATGACCGTGGATAGAAATGAGCAGAGTTGCAGGCCTTTTGGAGTTGAGCTCTGTTGGGAATGGTGGCTTAGTTTAAAAACATAAAACAAGCAAATACTGGACGGCAGCAGCAGAAGTTCTTTGAGGTCCTTGGAGATGAGAACCTGGTGTTGAGGTGGTGAGGGGGTTGGTTTGGCTAACTGTGCCTTTGTGTTGGCGCGAAGCCTGCAGAATCCACTGTGCTCACTGCGGGGAGAGAACCCACAGCAGGTGACAGACAAAAAGCCAGCCAGGAGGCTTATCTTCTGAGCAACTGTAGGATTAAGGGGCAGCTGAACACCTTGCTCTCAGCATACGGAGTACAGACGGGTCATCCTATGAGCTCCTGGTCAGGAGAGGCAGGACGAGCCACAGGCCCTGTTTGAAACCTGATTATCTTGGGGCGCTCCGGGTGACCCTGTCACATTTGATTGGCTCAAGGGCTGAAGTCCCCCTGCCCCTCCTGAACCGGCATTATAGCAGTGTGCCCTCAGGGCACTACTCTCTGGTGGGGGGTCCTCTAGATTTGGAGGACAGTTGGGTCATTTGCTGAATTTTTCATATCCCTATTTTTCTTTCTTGACCTCTGGCCGTTTCATTATCTATAGATTCTTTTAAAACTGACATTGAGCCCCGACCTATGAACCAGGAGATCTTGGTTTGATTCCTGATTAGGGTACATGCCTGGGTTGCGGGCTCGATCCCCAGTCGGGGGTGTGCAGGAGGCAACCAGTCAATGATTCTCTCTCATCATTGATGTTTCTATCTTTCTCTCCTTTCCCTCTGAAATCAATAAAAATATATTTTTAAAAAACTGACATTGAGAGTCTTGTTGTGAGAAGGAGGCTTGCAGTTTCTTGAAGCCTCTAAGTCATCTGGCAGAGCTCTGCCTGGCTGGCTCACAACGTACCTCTGCAGCTGCTCTGTGCGCCCAGGCAAACCTCTTGCTTCAGCAGGACTTTCAGGCTACACCCTCCTCACTCCTGGCTAAGTCCCACTCCTTCCCCAGGTCTCCCATCTATGTCACACCCTCCAAGACTTTGCTGACATCCTAAGTCCCTGCTCTGTGCTGCTGTGACACCCTGTACCCTACCGGAGCCCGTGATACTGCCGTGACCTGCATATCCTCACTCCAAGTTCTGGGCAGGACTTTGTCCCACAGGCCTGGCTGGTTGCTGACCCATGGTTAAGGGGCTAGCGGCGGAGTGGCTGGAAGTGCCACTCAGAAGAGCTGGCCAACCCAGAGAAGAGAGGGAACTGAGAACGGGGTGAGGACTCACTGCCAGTGGGGCTCCCTATCCCACAAAAATCTCTGCAGAGCCTGACCAGAGAGGAGGGAATGGGGTCTCCAGTAGATGCCTTAGCTTAGGTTCCTCCAGACACAGACCCTGAGACAGAGTTGAATGCATTAGCTTATTTGGGAGGTGAAGAGGGGACCCGGGAAGTAGGACAGGGAGGGAAGGCACCCTCAAAGGGGGTATCATGCAGATTGTTACTGTGGGTGACAGGAGCTTCATCCTAGCGGGACTCTGGAGCCAGTGTAAAAGCCACCGCTCAGAGTTAACCTGCTCCAGGGCTGAGGGAGCCAGGGTGTCTGTACACCCTTAGCATCAGATGCTTTCCCCTGGGAACCTTCTGGAGCCCCACCCTGGAGGATGTTCAGTTTCAGGAGTTCAGGGGTGGGGCAAAGGAATTTGCATTTCTTACAGACTCCTGGGTGATTCCCCTGGTGCAGGGACCATACTTGGAGAACCACTGAGTTAAGTACCGTTTCAGTGGTTCACACTTCAGGTTTCATGAAGATGGTCAGTGGGTGAGAACAAGCAGGAAGAGGTATTTGGTCCATTCTGACCATAACGTTAACTCCCATTCATCTTTCCCTGTCCTCCCCAGTACCTAAGGCAGGGGTGGGAAATCTTTTTTTCTGCCAACAGCCATATGGATATCTATAATATCACTAGTGGCCCAGTGCATGAAATTCATGCACATTAAAAAGGAATTAATTAGAGGAAATATTTTAATATTGCTATTTGCCCTTTCTCTATAATAGAAGTGTCAGAGATAAAAGAAAATTAGTAAAATGCATATAAAAATCTCCCCCCTGTCAGAGTCTGGGGCGCGCCACGGGATCCAGAATCGAGTCCCTGCCCACCTGCATGCACCTCGAAATCGCGAGACCCAGATCTGGCTGGCCCCACCACCGTCAAGCCCCACAGGGCGGGGGGGCGCAGCCTCAGGTCCCCAGTCAAGCACCGCTGGGTGGGGGGTGCAGTGGGTGTGACAATCATTTGCATATAAGCTCTTGATTATATAGGATTCCAGGGTCATGCAAAATTATCAACTTAAAATGTATTACCCTGCTATATTTGGTCAAAAATTTAATTAACTCGGCCCTAATGCCTTGGCAGAGCCAGACCAAATGATTTCGCAGGCTTTATTCTGCCTGCGGCCTGGACATTCCCTACCCCTGGCCTACAGGACCAGGAGTGGACTACATTAATGCCATTTTTCTCTTTTTTTTTTTTTTTCCTGACTGGGAAGGGAAGGCACCCCTGTACTTTCTCTTTAATGGGAAGAGAAATTTAACATTTTTTTCTTTATTGAGGTTTTCCTTGTGACTAGTACTATTGAGTTTTGTAAATGTTCTGTATACACTTGAAAAGACCCCCACACTGTAATCACGGAATTGAATTCCTGCCAGACATCAATTATGTGTATTTAGATAGACTCTGAGTTTTTCTTCTTACGTCTCTTTGATAATGGTGTTTTAACATCACCTTCTACAATGACTGTTCCTTCCCGTGTTTTTAATAATGTTTGATTTCTGTATCTTGTCCGTTTCTTTGGCAACATAGATTTGTATCTGCATGGCTTCATTGTTAGTGGTGGTTGTTACCATTATGTAATGTTCCCTTTATCTTCAAAAATACCTTTTTTTTCTTGCCTTGCATTTACATTGTCTAGCATTAATATTTCTTATCCCTGCTTACCTTCTGTTTCGAGTTTGATTAAAACATTTTCCTCAGCCTTCCCATGTTTCTGATCTTAAAGGTAATACATGCTCTTTGTAGGAAAATTTGAATGTATCAAAAAGCGCATCTAATTGAAAAAAAAAACACCAAATACTGTGAGACTAGCCAGCGGCAACTGCTCATTTGTCCATGTTCGCACCCTCTTTTTAATGCACATTTGACAAAGTTACGATCCTATAGTAAAAAGAAGTTAATGTTCTCGTTTCCCCCCTGAACATTGAAGCACATTTCCCTTTTTATTAAAAAGGCTCTGGGAACATCATTTTAATGAAGGTAGAATGGTCTGTTCTCAGGCTGGTCAACACTGGCGTAGGTGGAAACAATAGTGCCTCAATTCCATATGTTATCACATCCATTCAAGATAAAAGACTTTTTCAGAAAAAAAAGAGAAGGAGGAGGAAGATGAGCGGGAGGAGGAGGAGAAGAAGCTAGGTTCAGGGAATGTGTCAGCATTGGGACACTGGATAGTTCCTCCACTGTGTATGTTCTGATGATCCTCAAATCCATCCCACCAGCCCAGAGCAACTCAGCCTCTCCCCCAAGCTCCACACCTGTATCCTCCGTCTCCTAGGTGGCGGCTCAGGGTCCCTCTGAAACCGTATGCTCACTGGGTCCAATGACTCACCATCTTCCTATCAGTCTCAGAAAACTGTTTCTCATCATTTATTTCCTGTCTCATTGAAGAGCTTCATCTTTTTCTCAGTTATCTCATCATCAAAGCCCGGAAGTCTTTGCACGCTCTTCCTCGTCCCTTTCCCAGTAGCATCTGGTTAGTTACTGTTGAGCGGGGTCCTACTTGGTCATATTCCAAGCCACTGGCTTTTTGTTCAGGCCCTCAGCATTTTTTGCCTTGAAATTTGTTTGAGGGGTTAAGGGCACACAGATTTATGATTATTATAATTCTTGACACACCCCATAGCTTTTGTTTACTATCCCTTGTTTTAATTGAGATATAATTCACATAACATAAAATATACCACTGTGTGGCTTTTAGTATATTCACTATGTTTTGCAGCTATTGCCACTAATTCCAGAATATTTTCCCAACAGAAGCCCTGAATCTCTTAGCAATCTCTCCCAGTTGCTCGGGCAACCATTGAAGTCTCTATAAATTTACCTATTCTGGACCTTTGACATAAATGAAATCTACAACATGTGGCCTTTTGTGTCTGACTTCTTTCACTTAACAATGTTTTCTATGTTCATCTATGTTGTAGTACATATGAATACTTCATTCCTTTTTATGGCTAAATAATATTTTGTTGTATGGATATGGCATAGCTTACTTATTCATTCATCAGTTGATGGATATTTGGGTTGTTCCCAGTTT